AGGTCCTCTCTGTGGCCTGTTGCCTTTCCCCAGGGGTAGACCTGTTGCTTGGGTTTGGTCCTCATGCAGGGGGGTTGTGCCAGGGTCTTCTGCTGCAGTTCAGCCTCAGTCTCGGTGCATGCACCCAAATGTCGAGGTGGGGCTTTCTCAGTCATCCGGCCCTTCCCAGGAAGTTGGCATTCTCTAATTATCTGGGCCCGGTAAAGCTTTCTGATGCTCCTGCAGGGTGGGCAATTTTATTCTTTTATACTTTCTCCAGTTGCCATGAGTTTCCTGATCCCCTGATGTAACGGTATTTGCTGCCACTCCCTTAACAGTAAGATATCTTTTGTTTAGGGGTGCGCCCTCCCCTGTGGGCCTGGACTGTGAAGGAGGCGTCCTCTGGCCTCCTGCCCTGCCCAGTCTGTCCTGTGATATTCAGCACATTTTTCAATCTCCTTTGGAGGATGTGGATCCCAGGGGTTTCGTACTCACAGCTGGCCCACACTTGGCCTTGACCAATTCATTATAAATACTGATCTTGAGCTGCACTCTCCTGGCCGTCTTGCATGAAAGACCCATCTCCCCCCACTGCTATCAAGTGAGCCAGTGTTCACGTCCCACCTCTACTTGGAAGCTCCTCAGCTCTCTCATGGGTTCACGGAAGGTTAAGTTTAGGGTGAACGCTGGAGTCCTTTGGGCTTTTAGCCTGAACATAAATGACGGAATCCTGTTCATTGCTTCCCACACTATTCTGAGCACCCAGCACGATGCATAGTAAGTCACAGACAGACCTACTTATACTAACAGCACATGAAAGTCACGCTTTTTATGTCTCTCTACCCAACGAGCCACACTAGCAAAGTAAAAAGGGGTGCATTGTTAAGGCATAAACACACACACACACACACACACACACACACACACACACACACACACACACACACACACAAACAAAACAGTAACAGGAAAGTAAAGAGTAGCACCAAAACTTTAAAATTCCAATGGCTGAAAGTTTAGCGTGATACTCAAGAAAAGCTCTGTTTTAAGCCAGAATTGAAGTTAATAACGATGTAACTTCTCTCACAGAAACCATTCACCAACACTGGAGAAATTCGTGGCTGCATTTACAACAGAAGTGCGTCGGGGCCTCTCGCGCTCTCTCCTCCTTGCCACGCGGGAGGGCCACCAGCGGCGGTTTCCGTAGTGTAGTGGTTATCACGTTCGCCTCACACGCGAAAGGTCCCCGGTTCGAAACCGGGCGGAAACAAGGTTTTTCCTGAAGTGCCTGTGATTTCGGAAATTTCAGATTGTTCGTATACATTTCTCAGATTTTTGCGAAGGAACATTGTCATGACCTTGGTCGTACGAATCTTTAGAAAGGCCAAGGGAGAGGCCCTCCCAACGGGCGGCCGGTTAGCTCAGTTGGTTAGAGCGTGGTGCTAATAACGCCAAGGTCGCGGGTTCGATCCCCGTACGGGCCAGTCGTATTTTTCCGTGTCTACTCTTCTGTGCTCACCGCTCACATCCGATGACGTTGGCTTTGCCGCCGCTCAGCGTTTTGATTGGTCCGCTCGTTTCCGTGTGTGTAGTTTTCTTTAGTCCACAGAGACGCGTGCCGAAGGACTCCTCGCCCCGCCCCGCAAGGCCGGGGAGCCTGTGCAGGGCGGGCGGGGAAGCTCCTCCCTCCCCGGTGCCCTGGGCCGGGCCTGCGGTCTGGGGGCCGCGGATTCCAGCCTCCCGAGCTCCGGGGCAGAGGCCGGTGTTCCTGTTCTGGACCCCAGTCCGGAGCTCAGACCGGCGGTGACATCTGACCGTTTCCCCGGTCGTCTGAGATTGCAGTGACCCGAGGGCGTGAGCGATGGAGACGGACGGCGCTGCCTCCGCCACCGGCTGCTCTTCTCGCTCCCAGGACATTTTACTTCTTGTCTTGGTTACACGGTGACCTACGTGAGGGCTCTGCCAGGGACACGTGGGCGCTCGGGAAACCCAGGACGGCGGGGTTCCCTCCGCCTGGCAGGTGCTGCCTCCTGCAGGCGAGGAAAGCCGGGGAGAACTCAAAACAGGAATAGGGGGTGCTTAGTGCTCCATTGTACGTTAGACAATAAAGGGCCCGGCCGGCCGGGCCACCGGGAGCCTGCGCCCAGCAGCAGCTGCGCGGGCGTCTTTTCTGTGACGCGTTCAGCCCTCTGTTTACTGCACGCGCTCTCGGGGAAGCTTGGACGTAACAAACTCTGTATAGATGACAAAAGACTGAAAATGGGTGGCCGTAATTAATTTATTGCACATAATTTTCAAAAACGAAAGAGCTGATGAAAGTCAGACATAGAGAACAAACCTAATGCCTCTCCCAAGGAATTTTGGTTGTTCCTGCGGCGTGCAAAACATGCTAACACCCAGTGCGTCTTACTCATCCATGTCTTGGCCACCGTGAGTAATACTGCATTGAACATAAGGACACATGTACCTTTACAAATACATGTGTGTTGTGTGTTTTGATAATGTCCAGAAGAGGGTTTGCTGGGTGACAAGGTAACTCTATTCTCAGTTCTTAAAGGGCCCTCCACACTGGTTTCCACAGTGGCTGTACACTCCCACTCACAGCGAATGAGGGTCCCTTTTCTCCACATTCTCCCCAACAGTTATTTCTTATCTTATTGATAACAAGCATTCTAAAAGGTGTGAGGTGGTATCTCATTTCGGTTTTGATTTGCATTTTTCTAATAGCTGATGAAGTTGAGCGAGCATCTTTTTATATAGTTGTTGACCACTTGTATGTCTGTCTACCCGGAAAAGGTGTTCAGACCCTCTGCCCATTTTTAAAAAATTGGATTTTGTGTTATGTTGTTGCTGAGTTCTATGAGTTCTCTCTATATTTTGTAGTTCCTTTTGCTGTGCAGAAGGCTTTTAATTTGACATAGTCCCATTCATTTCTTTTCGCCCTTACTTCCCTTGACCTTGAAACTCATCCTTTTGTATCAACTACAGAAACCATATTCATTTTCCCTTCATGCCAATCCCTGATATTGTGATGCAATTATCTGGCAAGAGACCCTGTATAATTGAAAGAATAATTCAGTATAGGCTTAATCAGCTATGTAAATTCCTTTATGCCTCTCTATTTAATGGCATGTACCCAGTTGAAAATACAAAACCAACCAAGAAGGCCCCGCTGGGATTCGAACCCAGGATCTCCTGTTTACTAGACAGGCGCTTTGACCAGCTAAGCCACAGGGCCCCCTTCTAGGTAAATGTTCAATTATATCATATTTGTAACTTTTTCTGTGAAATGTAGTAATTTGCCAGACCTATTTGATTTTCTGACAGGGAACGCATCTTGTTTTTCAATTTCTAAAGCAGAAACATCAACATTAAAAATAAATGCATTCTGTATTGCAGTACTTTAAAAATGATCTTAAATTCAAATGAATGACATTCCTATTTCATGGCGACTGTTGCCCTCTAGAGGAAATAATGGATATTGCATCACATTTTAAATTTGTTTCTGTATTATTTACGTAAATCTTTTTGTCCACAAATGTTGAGTCATTATTATATTTCAGGTACTTTTCTAGGTATTGGCGGTAGAACAGCGAACAAACACACAAACCCTTCTCCTATAGAATTTATATTCTAGAGGAAGAAGGTAAAGAAAGCAAATTTTAAAAACTTGGTCTCCATACCCCAAGCGTACGAGCAGTGCCAGAACCAGCTCCGCTGTCGCCAGGTGACAGAGACCACGGTGCTACCTTCTGAGCTAATTCACTGCACGTGGCAAGACTGTCACACTCCTGTCTCATCTGACCTGCATGAGAAAGGAAGCGAAGCTGCGGACACACGGATTCGGAGGAGACTGGCATCTCGCCCAGACCAGGCGCCGCCAGACCCCTCCTTCAAGGACAGCCTGGGCCTCGGCGATCCGCGGCTCCCCGTGGGGCCGCGGGAGGAAACGCTGCGGGGCTCTGTCCTGTTCTGCTCTTGAACTGACTTGGCTCCTGTCCTCAGAGACTGTAAAACTGAGCGGGAGGGGGGGGGGTGTTGGACTTATCTGTATCCCCGTCGTACCCGTGTCCTGCCTGCCGCCACTCCTCATAAGCAACGTTTCTAACTTGTTTATCGTGCATCGTTTTGATCACATGTATTTTTTAAACAAAGTTGACTTTTCGTGTGTGTGCATATATTACACATTTATGGAAATGGCATAATATATATTCTTGTGCCTTTCAAAAAGCATTGTGACTTTAAAATCCACCTACGTTGCCCTGTGTATACATGTCATTGTTTCTACTTGCTATAATTGCAGGAACTTGATTTTCTTAAAGGTTTATCTTTTTCCTCCCCTATGATTTGTACTTTGAGGTTATGCTTAAAGGGTCTTTCTCTGCTACTTAGTTATAAACTTTCTCTCAAAAATGTATAATTTTCCTTTTCACATTTGAAATACTGATCAAGCTGGATATCCAGACAACTGTACGGTTCTTCTGTGACAATCTGTTGGAGTCATGTCTTCTAGTCCCCCAATTTTGGTTTAGTAAGGGTCTCCAGGGTGCCTGGGTGCTCTTGTAGCACCCCACACTTCTTTATCTCAGCCTCCTCACAGTCCGTGATTCTGCGTTGAATAAAACGGGTTTCTGTTCTCGTCTGTGTAAGCCTGGCCAGTGTTTCGGGGGTCCGGAGTCAATCCTAGGCTCCCCGAACTGTAAACAGTACTTTGGTTCTTACAAGAAAAGTGCATGAAGTAAGAGTTGCTCTATGCTGCTTCAACAAGTGAGTGGCAACGCTTCGAACTTAAAGTTTGTAGTTACATCTGCATGGATTTGATCCTTGCTTGATCTTATCTTCTAATTCATCTTTTTCAATAAGAACTGGAGACCACACTTATTGGTGCCATAAAACCTGAGTTTTTGTTTTGCACTCAGGCTATTTGATTAGTTTTCTCTCTTTTATAATCCCGCACCTTACCGAAGCCTGGGGAAAAAACGCTAGTGGGCAGTATTTCATAGGTGCATGGCTGACTCTACCACAATCGAAGCTCACCATCGATTTGGTATAATCACCCTCAGTCTATCAGTGTCTAAGTCTACTGTAATTTGATTTTAAGGAATGAAATCGAGAAGGCCTTGGACAACACAGAGGAGCTGCTAGGATCAGTGGCCCACAGACAACCTCCTTAGCCTGGTGGCCTCACCAGCAACTTGGCTATGGAAAGGGTCCCAACACTCGCAACGGCTCTGGAGGGCAGAGCCGAGAGTCTGAGACTTGTCAGATGAATGCTGTGTCACAGAATGGAGAGTGGGAGAGAGACTGTGTAAGGGAGGGAAAACTCTTCCTCCACTCTCTTAGGGTCTTTCTCTGGGTCTAAGAATTAAAAAGATATGACATAGATTAATAGGAAAAGAACATACACATTTTATTATTAAATAATTTTTACATGCACATGAGAGCCTGCACAAAAAAAAAGTCTCTGGGAAGCAACAATTACACACCAGGCTGGACACACACGAACACTTGACGAGACCAAGGGGCCAGGGCAGTTAGAAGAAAAGTGACTAGGAAGATGAGGTTCGTTTAATAAGTGGTTAATAAGTGGTGGGCATCCAGATTTCTCTGAGTCTCAACTTCCTGTCTCTGGTGATAAAAATGTTTCTTCCTCCTGGTGTAGAAACATACTTTTCACGTGGGAATTTTATCTCCTGCTTTTAGAAAGGAAAATAAGGGCCGTAATGCACTCCCTTGTTTTTCCATCTGTTTATTCAAAGTAATTGCATCTATTAATTCAAAGTAATTAATATGTCAGAGGCATATGTATTTGAGGGTAGCATCCTCTGACCTCCTCCAATGCAAAACATTTGCCTCCCATTTCGAACACAAACACCCTAAGCATAACTCAGTGAGCAGTCCCCAGCGGCTGGTTCTGCCCCAGTTGTAAGTAAAGGGAGGTCATGGGAACAGTGCTCTTCCGTTTATAAAGATCCGTTTATCCAGCACCTGTTGACTGACAGATGGTGTAGACCCCACAGTGTAAGGTGCTTGCCTACCAGGGTTCTAATTGTGTTCCGCTCTGTCTGCAGCCCCTCGACATATACTGGGCACGTGGTGTGGTGGACGCTCACAATAAATAATCTGGGAATGAATGGAGGGACGTGGAAGTGTTTCAAGGATGAAGAATGAGGTTTTAGATAATCTTTCCCCCTGTGTTTACAATGACTCTACTTGCTAGGAAGATGCACGGGAAATGTAATTTAACACCAAAAACAAAAACCGCACATTCCAAAATTATCTTTGAATCAAACGTAAACATTTTTCTACGCACTTACTTAGAAACGTGGACCTCCTTGGGAGATGGTTCTATAGTGCAGCAGTTAGCACATCCGCTTTGCACACAGAAGGTCCTGGGTTTGATCCCCAGTAGAACCAACAATAGGTGGATTTTCTGCCCCCGCCTGTACCCACACTGGCTGGCAATAGAACATCAGCTTCTCACCAAGAATACTGGTATTTCTGCTTCTCCAGACTCCGTGAGAGTTAGAGGAATAAGTTTTAGGTAAGCCTGAGCTGGAGACACCTCTGAGAGGCCCATCCTCTCTCTTCAAAAGTGCCAAGTCCACAGGAATTCCTAAAATCCAGGAACTGGGTGAAGAGAGGACCCTCAGTGGAGAAATGTGTGGGTGGGACCGATCAGGGGCTGCAGACCAGCGTGGCCTCCTACAAAGTCCAACTCCAGCCCCCATCTATCAGGAAGAAGACTCCAGGGTTATTCTCCTAAAATCAGGGAACAGGCCTCTGGCCTCGAGTGTGTGGTGGTATTTGTTGCCCTTGATGGTTGCAGTTCCTTAGTAAAAGCAAGAGAAACCTATGAAAACCTTTACACCGTGTGTCCTCCCCAACCTCACTTCTATACACAACAAACTCAGGAAGAATCCACAAGTCAGCATTTCTCTCTGCTCTCATCAAGGTCGCCTGTGCTTGTTCCTCTCAGGGGACCGTGCTTCTCCAGGCCTGATCACAGATAGGCATTTCTGTTCCTGGGCCTCACACTTCAAGACTAAGAGGGCCAGTTGTGTAGGAAGCTCCCAGACCAATCGATATTCATGGACTCATGGCAAAGGTCCAATTTAATTTCATAACCACTCCCGCTCAGTTTACAGCGGACATGCTACTGATGCTCACCCAGAGCGGCAGTGTCAGGAACTGGTTCCTCTGGGTCCAGACGGACAGGTACCCATCCTCACACATGCAAAATGGAGTAGAAATAGCATTCAGTACAGGGGAAGTCGAGGCAGATGTGATACAGTGAAGAAGACTAGGAAGCAGCCTTAAAACTGGGCAGCTGGGGGGATGACCTCCAAAGATACATTTCAGCTCAGTTACAAAACCTCTTAAGTCTCCTCTGAGTGAGTTTTAGAATTTGCCTCAGGTAGACAGATGGGAAAGGATGAGGCTAATTTAGCCATAAGGGAAGGCTTTGAGAAATCAAAGAAGATGTCATTGTGCTGGAACTTTTAATAAGCTGCTCACAACATGAGAAAGGAGATAGAAGACAGTAGTTTTTGAGCTCCCACAATCCACGAGTCCAGGGGAGATGTGTCATTTGTGTGTATGAGTGGGGTGCTGCGGACAAGTGGGCCCACGGAAGCTCCTCTGCGAACTTCCTTGTCTCCAGTCACCTCCCCTCCTCAGGTCAACTCTCCTCCACACCCACCTTGCCCGCTCCACCTGCCCCTCTGTGACTCCTGTGCAAACAGAAGAGGTTAGAGACAGGAGCTATTCCTCTGAGCCACAATTTCCCCCCCAAGGGTTCCTCCCATTTTTCTGCAGATTATCAGTTTAGTTTCTGAGCACCTGCCTGCCCACAATACTTGGAAGTGCCGACTCATGGTCAGTCGGCTGGGAAAGATGGCACAGGAAACCTGGACCTGCATTTGAAGTCATTTTCTCGTGTTCCAAAGGAAGTTTTCCATTTTTGTTTTTATTACCTCAGTTTCTTCTTCAGGACTCCTAGCCAATACCAACCGGACCTGAGTAGAGTTAGGAAGAGAAGCACTGAAGAGAAAGAGAAAAACAAACGAACAAACAAACACACAAAAGTAACGGGCACTGTCTTTGGCTTAAGGGGGTGGTGAGGCAGCCCAATGAGATGTGCACTTGTCTCTCTTCGTTGAGTAGATTACAAATCCATTCATCTTCGGATGGGCTTTGCAGTCTGCACTGCAGTTGAGAAGGTGGGGAGGTGCACGTACAACCTCAAGCTCCTGCCTTAACTCAGACTCCCACCAAGGTTGCCGTGGCCCCAACACAGTGCTAACCACCATAGGATCGGCGTGCCACCAGGTCTACCTGCCACGGCCCTTTCTCTACTCACTTCCCAGTTTATTTCCACTCACTCTCAATCCAAAATAGCCCCATTGTGCTCTGTAGCTCACCCCGTTATTGTCTTAAACCGCACACCCATCACCTGACAGCACACGTTTACATGTGTCTCCTTCACCCCGGCTGGCATGGAGGCTGTTCTCTACCATGCATTCTCTGTTGTAACCTCAGCTGCTGTGAACTCAGGAAATACACGTTTTCCAAAGGAATAGGATCCCGAATTTACCAACATGAGTGTGCAACTTATGATGTTAAAACAATAAAACAAAATCTAGTGCTCCTTGGAATTAAGCCCTAAGTAAAGTGGAAATGACTGGTAAAAGAATACGGCAAGTTGTGTGCACCAGTTCTCTATGACAGCGTGAATGGCTCTGAAAAGAGCCTTTGTTTCCTAGAGTTCTTTACCTGGTCCCTCCTTACTTGGCCTTGTGGTGGCTCTCGGTCTTCTTGGGCAGCAGCACGGCCTGGATGTTGGGCAGCACCCCACCCTGCGCGATGGTCACCTTGCCCAGCAGCTTGTTGAGCTCCTCATCGTTGCGGATGGCCAGCTGCAGGTGGCGCGGGATGATGCGCGTCTTCTTGTTGTCGCGCGCCGCGTTGCCCGCCAGCTCCAGGATCTCGGCCGTCAGGTACTCCAGCACGGCCGCCAGGTAGACGGGCGCGCCGGCCCCGACCCGCTCGGCGTAGTTGCCCTTGCGGAGCAGGCGGTGCACGCGGCCCACGGGGAACTGCAGCCCGGCCCGCGACGAGCGTGTCTTGGCCTTGGCGCGCGCCTTGCCACCCTGCTTTCCGCGTCCAGACATTTTCACCTGAGGACTTTCCCCACAATTAAGTGTAAAAGTGAAACTACAGGGACAGCACGTCTTATAAACGATCTTGGGAGCGAAAAAACAGATGTGTTATTGGTCAAGTTTCCAGCTTTATCTTGACCACTGAAAACACACATTTGGGATTCTTGCACTCTGATTGGACCAAGAGAATTTTTTACGTTCCGATTAACCACCAATCAGACAAAGGACTGTATCACTTAATTTGCATGTCAAGTTGTATATAAATAGGGCACGTCACACTCCACTACCACTCTGCTGTTTTCTACTTGTCCTCAGTTTTCACTACCATGCCTGAACCAGCCAAGTCCGCGCCTGCCCCGAAGAAGGGCTCCAAGAAGGCCGTGACCAAGGCCCAGAAGAAGGACGGCAAGAAGCGCAAGCGCAGCCGCAAGGAGAGCTACTCGGTGTACGTGTACAAGGTGCTCAAGCAGGTGCACCCGGACACGGGCATCTCGTCCAAGGCCATGGGCATCATGAACTCCTTCGTGAACGACATCTTCGAGCGCATCGCGGGCGAGGCGTCGCGCCTGGCGCATTACAACAAGCGCTCGACCATCACGTCCCGGGAGATCCAGACGGCCGTGCGCCTGCTGCTGCCTGGGGAGCTGGCCAAGCACGCGGTGTCTGAGGGCACCAAGGCCGTCACCAAGTACACCAGCGCCAAGTAAGTGCCATTTGTAGGCGCCTTTTAACCCAAAGGCTCTTTTCAGAGCCACTCAGTCGTTAATAATTAGGGCTGTAGACACATTTGAAATCGGCGGTGAAGTATAAGACAAGTGCATAAATGAAATGTCCCATAAATAGAGGTACAAAAGTACCTTCATCTAAATGAAAGTCTCTAAGGAAAGTGGTACTGTGGGTTCAGGAGTGCATCTGAAATTGGAAAGGGTCAACCGCAAGCACCGGAGTCAGGACATTTGTGCATCCAGACCTCGGGAACCGAGAGCTGATGCTGTTGAGAAGAGACAAAGGTATAGCCATACTTGAGAGCTGATTTCATTAGCATGTTGTGTACTCCTGACATTTAAGTGTTTAAATGTACTTTTACCAAAGTACTTTAACTTTGTACCAAACTAAAACCCATTTATGATCAAGACTTTAGACCCCTCTGATGTGTTAGTGCAGTTGGTAAACAATGTAAAGGGAGCTACTTTAAAATGGTGCTGCCATGCCGGAGAAACTACCTTACATGTCTTATACCTCAAACCCTGGAGAGTTAAAAATGGCAAAGTACTTGGACTTGGCCTAGTGCAACATTGTGCCAAAGAACACCACGGGACAAACCAACATCTTTCCTTTGTTCAGACCCCTCACCCTGACATACATTTAAAGCAACTGTCATGAATCTTTTTCGCATGGAGGACTGGTTTCAGGAAGAAAATTTCCCACGGAAGGGAGGGAAGTGGTGAAGCTCAGGCGGTCGTGTGAGCAATGGGGAGCGAGAGGAAACTTCCATCGCTCACCTCCTGCTGTGCGGCCCAGTACCGGTCCCTAGCTCGAAGGTTAGGGACCCCTGAATTAAAAGGCCAATGAGAGCTTCGAGAGGGGCAGGACCGTCTAGATCCCAAGGCCTCTGACAACGTGGGTTAGTCAATCTCCGGGGAGTTCCACCCCAGAGCCAGAAGCAGGGAGGGGGACAGGCAAAAGTCACAAAAGCCCGACCCTCACCTCCAACAATCCTGGCCCAGATCACTGAATATTGTCCCCGCCCACATTTCCAGCACCGGAGTTAACCTAGTAAGTAAACTGCACTAAAGAATTAACATGGGTCCAAGTTTTGTTTGCCCGTGATCACACTTCAGTTTTTTCCATGAAAACTTGGCCTGAAAAGGGTCTTTGGTTTTGCTATAAAAACAAGTTTTGGGGTTCAATCTGACTTCAGAAAAACATTTTATAACCATATTGTGTTGTTGAAACAGTCAATAATAAAAAGCTAAATAAAAACTCGATTCAAGGTAGGCAGACTTAAGAGGAAGGAACTGGGGAGGAGGGGTCGGAGAGCGCGTGACCAGGGCAGGGATTCCATTTCATGGCTTCGGAACTCAAAGGAATTAGAACACAGACTCCTTTGTCTAATCCACGGCGGGCTGACCTGAGACTGGAAACCAGCAACTCCCTCTAAGGTACATGTAACCCAAAACTAGTTTAGGGGGCAGAGGGAGAGGGGAGGTTTTCCTATGGTCATTCTGAACAAACACTTACTGAACTGAGGCCCAGCGTTTTGTACTACGTCGTGTTTTAACCGGCTGGGTTCCTAGGCGGACGGGAAATAATTGCAGAATATGGATTTGTTCAGTAACTTACTGAGACTTACCGAATAGCAAAATGAAGGGTTCGTTGCTGTTCCCAGGAAACTCTGGACAAACGCAACCGGTGGCTTCTCTCTTACAATCCTTTTCGCCCCACTTTCTAGTTTGTTACCCCAGTCTCATTACCCCGCAAACCCAGTAATCTGCGCAAAGCTCTTCCCGAGGCGTGGGCGGCCCTGAAAAGGACCTTTGGTGGAAACAAAGTTTTGGTGGTGAAAATAGGGGTTAACCCCCGAAGCCGTAGAGGGTGCGGCCCTGGCGCTTGAGCGCGTAGACCACGTCCATGGCGGTGACCGTCTTGCGCTTGGCGTGCTCCGTGTAGGTGACGGCGTCCCGGATCACATTCTCCAGGAAGACCTTGAGCACCCCGCGGGTCTCCTCGTAGATGAGCCCGGAGATGCGCTTGACACCGCCGCGGCGGGCCAGACGCCGGATGGCAGGTTTGGTGATGCCTTGGATGTTGTCACGCAGCACCTTACGGTGGCGCTTGGCGCCGCCTTTGCCAAGGCCCTTCCCGCCTTTGCCACGACCAGACATTCTGGACAAACTAGCAAGTAGTAATACCTCAAGGGCATCAGCAACTCCTTCTTATAGGGAACCCTGGCGGACCAGAGTGAGAACCTAAAAAGCCGTGGCAGGAAGTTGTTCTTGGTGGCAGGAGGGGCCTAAAAGCAGAAAACCTACTATAGTAGGGTCTCTTTTCTGTTTTCTTTTCAATAACTTTGAATCCTCAATACCCTGGCTGTTTCTCTCCCTCTTTTCTTATTTTATGTGCCCTGTGCTTCATCCAAATTAAACAATGAAACCTTGAGATTGTAGAGGATACACAAAAATAGTGAAGGAAATACTGTGTTTTTATCTCTGCATATGTATATGTAATTTCTTTCTCTATATAAAATTTGCATGAAGCCACAACTTTGGAACTTTTCTCTCCTTAATATATAGGAGAAATGTACTCCATATACGCACTGCACAGAGATTGACCAAGATGAAATAATAAAGCAGAGAATATTAAGATCATGCACATACATTATTAAATTCTGTTCCACCAAAGGCACTAATTTTTATTTTCCACAGCAGGTACTAGTGTGTCTTACTAATAATGAGTAGATTCACTTCAGAACTAATTCCAACAATTCAGATACAAAGAATTAACTTAAAAAAAAACAATCTGCTTAGTCAGTGCAACATCGAATATATCCCTACTGATTTGAGGAACTTAATTTATCATATTGAATATTTCACACAATTAATTCTCGAGTGTTTGTTGTTCTGCTGATCGGTCTGTGTCTATTGCTGAAGTATTATAATTATTTCTAATGTTGAAAACTAATTTTGTATTTGACAATGAATTCCTACCTCAATTTTTCCCCCAAATTTCTATTATCACACATCTTTTTTAAAAAATTAAAAATAATTTTATGCCCTTGCAATAAATAAATTGTCTTAGTAAATTTATCTCAGAATGGTTTGGGTAAATTTATCTTTGCAATACTGTGTCCTGGTAACTTGAAAAGTAATACTACCAATCCATGTATATCTCAGTAGACTATTTTCCAGATAATATATAATTTGAAAAAATAAAAAAACTTGCAACAAGAGCAATTAATTTTTTTACTAGGGAATATATAGAAAATTCAAATGAGAAAAAAAGTATACCCATTTTACTATATTTCTTAAACTTCAGTTAGCTAGAATACATTTCCAGACCCTTCTGTACTTTTAAAAATCAGTAAAGTTCCCACCCGCAGTAGCCTCCTTGCCTGTATGAAACGAGTAATAAGATTAGCAAAGGATGGTAAGTTTTGTAAGACTCTCTTGTTTCTGAAATTAATAGCCAAAAGATTTATTCTTCTATAAACATTATTTTATAAAAATATGGTGCTATTCAGGCTGGTTTATAATATACTAAAGTTAATATAACAAGATAAACAGTTACAATCAAGGTATTTTTGTTGTATCTTTACATTATTTCTTGGTTTAAAGGGAGCAAAATACACCACCCCTAATTCCACCTCTTTGATGTAAGGACCACTTTCAGCTGATTATGAGAAACAACAGACAAGAAAAAGTCTTTGAAAAACGTGGAAGTTCCTTTTTTTCAGGGACACTTAGGTTTATAACGGAAATCTCCCTCCCGGCACCAGCACGCGCATGCCAACTCTGAATCTCACGGCTCACCGATGGAGAAGGCAGCTACTTAATCTGTGCGACACAACCTACCTCCTCCTGGGTAGCCTCTCCTGACTGTGCTGCCTCTGCCCGCCCACCCTGTCTTTTGTGTCTAACTGGAAATGGTAAACAAGTAGAAATGACTTAAGCCATGTTGGGGAGTTTAGTCTTTGTTCCTGAGTATCTGCGACATGTGTATTGGTATTTACAAGTTGATAAAATTCTGGTTTTCTCTTGTTACTTCCTCTTTATCATGGACTCTCAGCCAAAAACTCAGAATGGCACAGGGAAAGCAATTTTCTCTTCTCTTACACTGCACACATCAAATGTTGCAGCAAACTTTATTAGTTACAATTGCAAAATAGGTCCTATACCTACCCATTGTCTACTGCCACCAGTGAAATCAAGCCATGGCTATGTCTCAAAGATCACTGGAGTGAGTAATTTATATCCTTGTACAGTTTGTATTCACCATAGAGGCAGTTGCCTTAGTGAATTTTCAAAGAAACCTAAGTCAGGTTATGCCATTTCTCTCTTCAGAACTCATAGAATGGACATCTAGAATGATTTGGAAAACTTAGCAGGACATATAAAACCTTACAGGATCCTAAAGTTCCTCCTTATCTGACTGCTACCGGTCTCTGAACTCACTTTCCACCCCTGCATTCTCAGTCTGGAGAAGACTGCTGGACATTTCACATACATGACGGTCTTGGGAGTTTGTGTTATCTTTGCTTGGAGCATCACCCAAAAGAGCCAACTAATTTACTGCCTGGTTTTATTCAAATCATTGCTAAAATACAATCTAGTCAAAATGTTTCCAGAGTCCTGGAAATGGTTTGAAGAATACCCACTCACCCCCACTCCTGTCCACCTGGACCCTCATGTGCCACCTTATTCAGAAATGGGGTCTTTGCAGGTGTAACTATTAAGGATCTTGAGAACAAAACATCTTGGATTTAGAACAGGCCCTGAATCCAAAGAGAGCTGTCATCCTGTAAGAGGAGAGGACAGGCTCACAGGCAAGGAGGCTGTGAAGGAGGTGGAGGTTGCAGGTGTGTTGCAGGCCAAGGAACACTGAGACTTCAGGCAACCACCTGCAACTGTGAGTCACCTTCAGTTTTTCCCCTTAAAGTCTCTAGAACAGGGGAGTCTAACCGGCGGCACATGGGCTGCATGTGGACCAGGATGACTGTGAATGTGGCCTAACACAAAATCATAAATTTACTTAAACCTTTTCCCCCCCTCATCAGTTTTCGTTAGTGTTTGTCTATTTCATGTGTTGCCCAAGATAACTCTTCTTCTTCCAGTGTGGTCCAGAGACACCGGGTTGGATGCCCCTGCTGAATGAATGAGCCCCGGTGGCATCGTAATCTCAGACTTCTGGACTCCAGAACTTTGAGGGGCCAGTGTTTCTGTTGTTTAGTACCGTCAGTTTGCAGTAAATTGTTACAGGGAGCTCCAGTAAGTTAAATTAACAGTGACACAAAAGAAAACGCTCCCAGCTCTCTGCTCCTCTAACCCCTGGACCTGATTTAGTTTTCCTCAGAGCACTGATCACGACCTAAAACTTATTTAAAAAAAAAACCGAGGGGCCATTTCAGTGTCTGTCATCATTATGTTTTTGCCAGCATTTTTTACTTAATAATTTACTAGGATGAGAAACAAAGATTTAATTTAATAAATCTATACAAGATGCATATGAATGCATTTCTTCATGCAACTTTCACAATGTTTTCCTTTCAAGGGGGAGATGTTTCATCAATAACTCATTTTCCATTTTCTCACCCAATAAAAACAAATGCTAAACTACCAGAAAATAGTTAGACACTTCAACCCTGAGGCCTGAGGCATCGATCACGTTGCTCACTTGATACACAGTATGTGTCCGTTGTACTGTGCAGTTAGATACACTATGTACTGACCTGTGTGAACTATACTAGAAGTCACTTTAAAGTAGCGGCTACAACACAATACAGGCAAGCCCTTTTAAAGAAAATGTGGGTGGCTCTGAAAAGAGCCTTTGGTTAAAGTGGAAAGACCCAAGTCTTTCTGTTCACTTGCCCTTGGCCTTGTGGTGGCTCTCGGTCTTCTTGGGCAGCAGCACGGCCTGGATATTAGGCAGCACGCCACCCTGCGCGATGGTCACCTTGCCCAGCAGCTTGTTGAGCTCCTCATCGTTGCGGATGGCCAGCTGCAGGTGGCGCGGGATGATGCGCGTCTTCTTGTTGTCGCGCGCCGCGTTGCCCGCCAGCTCCAGGATCTCGGCCGTCAGGTACTCCAGCACGGCCGCCAGGTAGACGGGCGCGCCGGCCCCGACCCGCTCGGCGTAGTTGCCCTTGCGGAGCAGGCGGTGCACGCGGCCCACGGGGAACTGCAGCCCGGCCCGCGACGAGCGTGTCTTGGCCTTGGCCCGCGCCTTGCCACCCTGTTTTCCGCGTCCAGACATAATGAAGGAGAGATCAACCTTGGAGTAGAGTGAATTAAAAGACTCAGAGAGGCCCCATTTATAGTCGTTCTAGGGCTCGAGAGTGAATCTCTGTCATTGGCCAAAAGTTACAGCCTTTTCATCTAAGCCAATAGGACTCTTGTTATGAAATGCGCTTGCTTTGACTGGACAATATTCAAGTGACATTTATGAAGTTACTGCCAGTCAGAGGCGACTTTGCTCACCACTTCCTTAAGAGGCTGTGAAACCAGAGGAGTCTCGCAGCCTTACGCTTGTTCTTCAGCTTCTTTGGCCGTTCTCTCCCACCATGCCCGAGCCGGCCAAGTCCGCGCCCGCCCCGAAGAAGGGCTCCAAGAAGGCCGTGACCAAGGCCCAGAAGAAGGACGGCAAGAAGCGCAAGCGCAGCCGCAAGGAGAGCTACTCGGTGTACGTGTACAAGGTGCTCAAGCAGGTGCATCCGGACACGGGCATCTCGTCCAAGGCCATGGGCATCATGAACTCCTTCGTGAACGACATCTTCGAGCGCATCGCGGGCGAGGCGTCGCGCCTGGCGCATTACAACAAGCGCTCGACCATCACGTCCCGGGAGATCCAGACGGCTGTGCGCCTGCTGCTGCCTGGGGAGCTGGCCAAGCACGCGGTGTCCGAGGGCACCAAGGCCGTCACCAAATACACCAGCGCCAAGTAGTGCCTGCTGCAGGCACCTCTTAGTCCAAAGGCTCTTTTCAGAGCCACCTATGTTCTCATAGAGAGCTGCTGCTGAGTTGGCCTCCGGTGCTGCGCCCCGTAAGTCGTTTAGTCTGCGAAGTCGGGCAACAATCCTTTGAGAAGTGGCTCGCTTAAGGTAAGCTCGGGGTCAACTAACCACAGAACAGTTACAATATCCTTTCAAATGTCTAGAACTCCATTGTGTAAGAACTCCTTTAGCTTCCCAGTACCGTTTAGGAGCTTACATTTAATTGGGCTCTGCCACCCTTTCTCAAGGCTAAGGCAAGAACGGGAAATGTTAGACTCCAAGCAAATTCAACTACGCCCGAATCACCGAACTGAAATAAGGTTGGACCCTGCCGGGCCCGAGGCGCGGGCAGTTTGAATTCGCCCTGGCGCCTGCGCTCTGCGCCCGCGGGGGCCCCGCCCTCCGGGAAGCCCCACTTGGGGTGCTGGAGGCACCGGGCTCGCCGCCTGATAAGCACTGTCTGGTAGTCTATCCTGCTTGTCATTTACTTTTCTTTAACATTGTGTCGCATTCGGCAGTAGTTTTATTTCCTCTTGAATTTTTTTGCTGGAGAGGAAGTTATTGAAGGATATAACTGCCAGACTGAAAAATACCAGTGCCTGACATTAATTAGGAATATTGCTTTCCTTTTGCCGTATTTTCGTATGTTGAACATTGCAAGACAAAACACGAATACTTAGGGACCAAAGAAGGCAAAAATGCTTGAAACTATTTATCCCGGAGTCCTCTGGAGTAAAAATCCATTTTCTATTTTAAAGTTCCTTTGGCTAGTGAAGGGTATTGAAAGGCCAGAAGAAAATAGTTATATCAGAAGCAGCATTTGAAATGAAAAGCCAGAAAATAAATGGCAGATTTAGCTAGTCAAAGGATATGGTTTCAATTTCTAGGGAAAAACCGCGGGCAAAAAGAGGTTCCATAGAAGGTTGCCTTACATGGTGATCTGAACGTAATTTCCGAATTGGTCACATTATGTTGGGTAGTCAGGCCCCAGGCCTGTAATCCTTTAGTAAAATACTTATTTTTGCCTTAATCTTTGTCCATTGCTTCTATGCATATAGGTTAACACACCTTTAAAATGTCTCTTTCCAGGCTCCTCCCAAGGTAAGCACCCTTAAGAGAACAAATAATCTTTAAAAGTATATTTTATCCCTTATGCTACTACAGTTGTCCTGACATTAAGCCCTTTGCCCTCCTCCACCCAGCACCCCCCACTCCCTCAGGCAATTCCCCCCACTATTGTTCAAATCATCTTAACTAGCCTATAATCCAGTTCCTGCCTTGCTTTCTCCCACTCCCGCGTAATCTCTTGTTCCCACCTTAATTTAAAATGCTTAAAAAGAAACTGCGGAACTGTTGTGCCTGGAGCATATGAGATCTTGCTTCCCTGCATATGTCGTCAGTCTAGCTCGAATAAAAAGTTCTAAAAAGTTCTCTATAGGTTTGGGTCTTATGTTGACAGCCCTTTGACTTAAAATTTTAAAAAGTGTATTGGGTTACACTAGATAACAAAGTGATACATTTCAGGGGTAAAAATTCTATAATACATCACCTGTAGATTATGTGTTCATCACCCCAAGTCTTGATTTAAATTTGAATGGAAAATATCAGTATGATCTTAGTACACATTTTTCCCCTAACATGTTTCATAGGAAAGGCCTACAAGCAATGAATTCATTAAGAGAGGATTCCCATCATGTAGATTATAGTTTCTCAACTCCTTTTCCAAAGAGTAAACTCTGCTTGGAGGTTTGGGTTAAATGTTATGAATTAAAGTATATTTAAGAGACACAGCAACTAAGGTAGATCTAATGGAATCCTAATTCAGACAACATTGTTGTAAGTATTTGAGGCGTTTGAGAATTTTTTAAAGGACTACATATTGCATGATGTTACAAAACATTTAAACATTTTCTTAGGCGTGAAAAACTTGTATTTTGTTTAGGTCTGTGTATGTTAGGACATTCGTAAAAGCAGCCGTGGTTGAAATGACATGCTTGTGATTTTTTTACACTGCCCCCATCCTGCCCAAAGTAGGGAAGAGAGTGAAGCAATAAGTGAAATGTTGGCCAGTGTTGAAGCTTGCGTGCTGGGCACTTGGAGGTAGGTTATTCCGTGTACGTAATCTCTGCTTCCACCCCCCCCCCCAAAGTTTTATGAAAAGGTCAGCCCAATTAACTAACGTATTTTCTCTTTTGTTTAACAAAGGGTAATACCGAGAAGAATCAAGTGTTGGCAGAAATTCCGAGTCTGAACTAAGGGAGTAAGAGAGGCCTCCGCACAGGAGACGATCCCAGCCACAGACCCCTCCCTCCTCGCCAGGAGGAGGACGCTATCGCCATCTGGTGGCCCTTTATGGGAATACAGCCAAAATTTGGCTCTGTTAGAGTTTCTGTTAGGCAGTCTGTTGCTGGGGTTTAATAATTACTCATATAAAGAATACAATGAACAATCTGGTTCTCAACAGTTCTCAACTGTATAATTTCCCCCAAAATAACAAATAAATACGTTCATTAGTTTTCTGTGCATCCCTCTGGAATTTCTTTATTCCTTTTTTAAAATTTTGTCCCCTCTGGAATTTCTTCATATGAACACAAATACACAGGCGGGTTCCCCCCCCCCCCCCCCCCCCCCCGTTACCTCTCTTAATTCACAGCCAATGGCCATGCGTTCCTTCCACAGTTCTGTCGCTTTTCTCACTAGTCAGCTCGGGACCTTTTTCTATTAGTAAGGAGAGTGGCTGAGAGTTCTAGGCAGGTGCACTTGAGCTAGTGATCCCTGGTGGGTAACCTGCTCCTACTGGGGACCCCACAATGGCTGCACCTCCCCTGAAAGGTGGTGCTCATCTGAGAAAGAAAGGGCCCACTAGGGGTTCTTTGTTCAGGGGCTGAACCAGTCTGGACGTGAGTAGGGAGGCCGAATTCCTGTCCCCTTCTTGGAATGGGCGCCCGATGCGCCGTGAGGGCGGGGCATTCGGGCCCTAACCCCAGGCACTGCCCTTGGCTTGGCAGTGAGGTTTTCTTCAATGCCATCTTATAATGAAGTCACCCTCCCATTCCCTGTCCCTTTTCTTCACAATGTGTATCAGGAACTGACATGCTGTGTACTTTACTGGGTCACTTGCTTATCTTAACTGTACCCCCTCCCCACTAGAATATGAGTCCACCGACACCTGGACTTTTCTCCTCCTCTCTCCTCCTTTCTTTCATATTCTCTTCCTCCTCCTCCTCTTCTTCTTCAGAAAATATCTCTGAATAAGTAAGTGAAGTAATATTCCTTGGCTCCACTCTTGCCAAAAGGGAGACTCAAGGAATTTTATTTACTTCCTTCGGTGGATGATCCCAAAGATCAAAGACAAATCGCCATCCATTCCCACCACTCTGAGTGCTCCGTCTGGTTGAACTCCCAGTTTTCTCTCCCCAACAAAAATCTTCAATATTGTTCAAACTTGGATTGTTTGGGTTTTTTTTTCAATGTTTTTCATGAATGATTATAGGCACACACATAATTTTTTAAAATACATATCAAATAAGGCCACTGGAATACTGTGTCACTAGAAGAGATTTTCTGCCCTCTGTAAGTCGAACTCAGGACTTTCGGGGTGGCGGCCAACTGGACGCTGCAAATGTCCGCCCCCCCCGGGCTGCCTCCTGGATTTCCATTCCTCCCACGAGGGAAGCACCGGGTCCTAAGTGCTTCTCTCCACAAGAGCGGACGTGGCTCCCTTTCTATCCCTGTGCTTAGAACAGCCAGCACCCAAGGGTGCTGCGTGGGTGCTTGCCGTGCAGGAGGACCTGTGGTCTCCTGCGTGGGGACAATTGTGAGTTCACCTTTGGCTAGTCTTGTTTTTCTTTTATTCCAATAATCGGAAACTCCCTTCCAAAATTTCAATTTCTCTTTTACTATTCACGGTCTTGTTGGTGCAACGATGTCCAAACCTGTAGAAAACTTTGTAAGAGTTTATTTCAGCTGAACAGAAGACCTGCCTGGAAGCAGGGTTCCAACAGACAGAAAATGCTTCAGGGAATGACAGTCTTCCAGGTTCTTTTGAGTGCTCAGAAGGAAGGAGGGAAGGAAGATGACCAGACGGTGAGAGCGCAGAGGGTGCAGGGGTGTTACCGCGAACCTGTGACTCCTGAACAGTGCTTTTCCCTTTAAAAGGGGGGAAAAAGTGGGTCATTTCTGGTCTCTCAGAGGCGTGTTGTCCTTTGCACAAGGGCAGTGGACCTGGGGCTCTAGAGCCAAGCAGCTGCAGGAATGATCACGTCCAGGGGCCGGAAGCAGGGAAGCGCACAGGTCAGAGTGGCCCACGCAGGGTCCATTTCTCTGGGGTAAGCGCTTGGACGGGAAATTGGAGGTTTACACACCAAAAACCCACGCCCTCGACGAGGGTGGGACTCGAACCCACGCGTGCAGAACACAATGGATTAGCAGTCCATCGCCTTAACCACTCGGCCACCTCGTCCCCGTGGACTTGGGCCTACGGCGCGCCATCCTTGAATTCATTCCCGGGGACCCACAGGCTGCTCGGACGCGGACCTTGGGACCGTCTGGGGACGTGGGTGCGCGGAGACGGCTTCCTTTCCTCCACATTATGGACAAGAACCGGAAGGGAAGCGGCCGGGAAGAGATGGAATCACCTTTGCGTGGCCTTCGCTCCTTCCCGGCGCTCTGGCCCCGCCCCCCGGGGGGCAACGGAGGTTCAGCGCCCCCTCCGTGACCCCGGGACCCGGAGCATCCCGACTCCTGACGCGCGGTGAGTAAACTCGTCTGGAAACGTGACGCCAGGGTCCGCGGGGCGAAGCCCCTCGATGCTCCAGGGGGCGCGCAGAGGGATCCTTCCCCGGTGGGCTGCCGTCCCGCGTCGCCCGCGTCCGAGGGACCGTGAGTTCTGAACACTAATGTGCTTTTTGGGTGGTGCCCAGGGGAGGGGTGCCCACTTCCCTTCCATTTTCCGAGGGAAGAGGGATCGGTATTAACTCTAATTAATCAGGCTGAGTCATAAATGCCTGGAACAAGAAGGTAAAGTTTAAGGTGAGTCTTGAAGAGTGTGTTTTCTGGAGGCAACAGGGAGGGCGGAGGCCCCACAGATATATTGATAGCATCACGTTAATTCTTGTGTATGGTGTGAGGGATAGGTCTCATTTTATCTTTTTCAAAATAACAATGCCATTGATTCCAAAACCTTTATTAAAACCCTTCCCTCAATGATCTGAAATACTACTTTTATCACATGCTAGATTATATCGAGTCCTTCCTAGGACAAGTCTTCATTCAGGCTGGTCCACCTGCCCCAATCATTGCCTCCCCTCAGGACAAACCTCAGCTGTCTGACTTGTCCTCCATCGGGTTCCAGGTGAAGCAGTTCCTGGATGAGAGCCTCTAGTCTCCCTCCAGATACCTGCAAGCCTAGGGGTAAAGGTGTTAGACCCTTCCCACTGCAAAGGGGCAGCCACTTCCTGTGTGACGGGGCCTCTTGAGTCCCTGTTGAGGAGGAGGGTGCAGTCTCCTCCCCACCCAGGAGAACTCTGAATGGTCACCTGCACTTAACCCAGCTGCAGGAAACCCTGTGAGAGCCACTTGCCTATACCTGCAACCCGTCCCCTCTGTCCTAACGTCACCCCCTTTTCACAACTGCAACACTCAATCCCAGGAGAAAGACTTTGGATCTGCCCAGCTCTGGCTCAAGCACCTCGTACTTTGTGAAGCTGAGCAGAATGTACATTCCCTCCAGTCTTCTAATTGCCTCATGATAGTTAATCATTCCAGCAAAGTTAAACATCCACTATAGGGCCAAATCCCTTCTATATCTGGATTCTGGACACATTCGAATGGAGGAAGCAGCATCTTCTTTAAATGAGCCCTGACATAAAGAAGGACATAAAATCCATGACATACTCAATTCCTCTCGTGGAATCTCAGGGGAAGACAGGTGCGCAGTGGCCTGAGAAATTAAAGTCGTGGATATCAATGGACAGGACCAGAGAGGATGTGGAAGCCAGTGGACGTGGTACAGCAGAGGGAAAAATATGGAGGAAACACACTCCCGACACGAAGGCCTCCACGTGTGGCCAGGTTTTCCTCCCTCTTTTGGCTGAGAAATCCCTGAAATCTGTGACTACAACTCCCTTTGAAGCCTTCTCAATGAAAATGGGAATGCCATACTACAATTATGATTAAATTTAATTATCATTAAGTGAGTTCATACATGTAAATCCTTTAGAGCAAAGCCCAGACCTTTCAAGAGTTACCCAGAAACTTCGGAGTGAGCCGTGGCTGCGGCTGTTATTTTTCTGAGAATGAGAGGGCGTTGTTCCTCGCACATACAGAGCCGGTGCTCAGTACGCTCTCCGAGTGGCTCTGCAGACGGGAGGGAACACCCCGCCGGTCCTAGAATTGCCGAGACCCTGCGTAAGAGTCATCCTGCTGCAGGGAGCGAGTGAGAACCTGGCCGGTGAGCACCTTCCACTCGCAACCTGCCTCTCAAATATCCTGATTGGGCTTTATTAAATAACCTAGTCAAGACTAAGCAGAGAGTTCACCAACCCAGATAAGATTCCATGATTTGTGAATGGCATTTTAAAAAACTGCATGTTTGTTCAATCCCCAAGAAAATGAATTTAAAAATGAAGAGGGGTTTTCTTTTTTAAAAAGTTATTTTAAAATTTCAGTTTATATTCAATATTATGTTGTTTTAGTTTCAAGTGTACAGCATAGTGATTGCCCTGATATTTCAAGTATCCACCAGGCACAATATACAGTTATTACAATATTACTGACTACATTCCCCGTGTGTACTTGACATCCCTGGAACTATTTGTGACTACCAATTTGTAGTTCTTAATCCCTTCACCTCTTTCCACCCCTCCTCCCCTCTTGACAATTATCCATTTGTTCTCGGTACTACGAGTCTGCTTATATTTTGTTTTTCTCATCAAATTGCACATATAAGAAAAATCAGATGGTATTTGTCTTTATCTGACTTATTTAACTTAGCGTAATACCCTCCAGGTCCATCCATGGTGGTAAGACTTCATTTCTTTTTTATGGCTGAGTAATATTCCCTTGCACATATGTACCTTTATGTACCTTTTACCCAATTGTCTATTGATGGGCACTTGGGTTGCTTCTGTAGCTTGCCTATTATAAACAACACTGCAATAAACATAGAGGTGCATATATTGTTTTAAATTAGTCTTGGGAACTTCTCTGAATCTATACTCAGAAGTGGATCTCTGGGTCACAAGGCAGCTCCAGTTTTATTTGTTTGAGGAACCTCATACTGTTTTTCCATAGTGGCCGCACCAATTTACATTCCTATCAACAGTGCACAAAGGATTTCTTTTCTCTACATCCTCACTGACACTTGTTGTTTGTTGATTTATTGATGATAGTAATTCTGACAAATGTCTCATTGCGCAAATATCTCATTGTGGTTTTATTTTGCATTTCTCTGATGATTAGTAACCTTGAGCATCTTTTCATGTGTCTGCCAGAGATATACTTTACATTCAAAGGCACAAATATGTTAAAAATAAAATAATGGAAAAATGCGCCTTTCAAGGCATAACCATTAGAACATGGATGGCTATGAGTATCGAACAAAATAGATGATATGACAAACAAACAAACAAACCCACAACTAAAGGTTAAGAAGGGCATTTTTATAAGGACAAAGAGTTCATTAGGAAAATCTAACAATGACAATATATGTAGCTAACCGCAGAGCCCCAACATAAACAAAGCAAACATTTAGAGGTTAAAAGAAGAAGTAGGCAATTCAACAGGAATAAGTAGAGACTTCAGTACTTCACTGTCAATAAATAATACAACAGTGAGATAGAAAATCAGCAAATATAAAGAAGATTGAACAACATCAACCGACTTGACCTCACATCTAGAGAACATTCCTCCCATGCCGGCGGGAAAGATGTAACAGCAGAATACAGATTCTTTTCAAGAATACATGGATTGTTCTCTAAAATAGACTCTATATTATTTAAAAGTCTCGATAAAAATAAGGAGATTAAAATTCAAAATATGTTCTCTGATCATAATAAAATTAAAGTAGAAGTCAATAATGAAGGAAATGGAAGGAATAAGGAATTCATGGGTACTCGTATAAAAGAAATTTGAAGAAAATTTAGAAGAATTTCTTGTTTTTTTCTTTTAAAAGGATTTTTAATTGAGTAAAAAATCCATAATACATCAAAATTACAGCTTTTCATTAAAACAATACTTACACGGAAACTTATGTCTTTAAACACCGATATTAGAGAAGAAAGACCTCAAACAAATAACCTAAACTCTTATCTTAAAAACTAGAAAAAGATAAGCAAACTACACCCAAAGCTAGTACAAAAAAAAGAATGAAGATTAAAGTAGAATCAATGAAATGGAAATCAGAAAAACAATAAAGAAAACCAATGAAATGAAGAGATAGGTCCTTTGAAAAGCCAGCAACATGAACAAAAGTTTAGCTAGACTGAACAAGAAAAAAACAGAAGATGAAAAATCAGGAAGGAAACAGAATATCATTACTGATCTTGCAGAAATTGAAAACATCATAGAGGAATATTATGGACACTATGACACTATGTCATGCTAACAAAATAGACAATTTAGATGAAATGAAAAATATCCCAGAGGATGTAAATTATGGAAATGAACACAAGAAAAAAATACATGTACTAAATTTTTTAAAGACGGTAATTAATTTTTCAAAAAGAAAAGCTTAAGCCCAGGTAGTCCTACTAATGAAATACATATTTAAAGAGGAAGTAGAACAATTCTTCAGAAATTCTGAGTACACAGGAAAGCATCCGGGAAAGGGTTAGTTAGTGCGCTCGCCGGTTGGGAAAAGATGCTGCAGGTGAGGCTAGAACTCTAGACCTCGACATTATTCGCACACTTACTGCCATATAAATATCGCGCGCGTACGAAGTGCGCCACTGGAGCGCTCGCCCCCTCTTCCCCGTCACTCATTACTCGGTCCACGCATTAGTTCCCGTGTCCCCCGCCATCCCCGAGCCCTGGGGCTGCGTCTCCCGCCAGAAGGTGGGCTGGGTCCAGCCAGGGACCACACTGGCCACTCCTCCTGCAGGTACAGAGGATGCTGTGCGCGTGGGAAAGGGTGGACACTTCCAGGGCGACCGGAAGACCCCCGCTGCGTCTGGCATCCAGGGAGGACCCTTGGATCTGCGCGGCCCCGGAACCCTGTCATCTCGGGCTCTAGCGCCGGGGGGATCGGAAGTGGGCGACTCACTCGCCCACCGCCCCCCGACTGGCCGGGCTCCCCTCCACCCCCGCCCCCGGAAGTTGAGGGGTCTGCACTGTCAGGGTTTCCGGTTGGGACTTGTGACCCTGCATCCGCGACAAAGTACTGCAAGAGGCTGAGGGACAAAGGGGACAAAGGGTAGAATGGACCGGACCTCCCCAGTCCTCTCCCCAACGGTAGGAGGCGCCGAATTCCCTGAGGACCGGGGAAGAGGGACGAGGTCGTGTGTCTGTTCTCGGGGCTCGGACGAGGTGACCCCTCGTCCTGGGCTACCTGCAGCTGCGGGGCGGGAAATGCTGTCCTGGGCAGGGCGCCCCTTCTGCGTGCTGGCCGCTGTCCAGACTTACAGGCTTTCAAGGACCGGCCAGCCCTTTCCCTCCCACCCTCTCTGTTGTGAGTTTAAATCTCATTCTTGTTCCTTCCCGCCAGCCCTGGAAGTTGTGTTTGAAACATCCGAATCCAACGGGCCGGCAGGTCCCTTAGAGTCCAGTGTTTCTCATTCCTGCCTGCACATTAGAATAACCTGGGAGCTTTTTAAAAATAATAGCAAGTTTTTGAAAAGACACGCCTCGAACCACCCCTGATGATTCTGACTTAATTGGTTAGAAGTGTGTGATTTTTTTTTTTCCAGATGATAGTTACATGATAGAGAAACATTCCTGTACGCACTCGACTGGGGATTGAAGTTATGTGCTCTGTACCTGGATTCAAACCCTCAACCTTTTTGGAGACTGGAGGAGGCTCCAACCAATTGAGCCGCCCAGCCAGGGCTCCAAGCCATTTTATACAAAGAACAGTTTTCTCACTTTAACGGGGCATGTGCCTTAAAGTGAATGTGGAGTAATTAATTAAGTTTTTAATGTGTGGATTGAGAGTAAGTGACCAATGTTGATAGTGAATAATTTGCTTGTAAAAACATTTATAGTTTCCCTTTATTCCTTTTTTGACCTCAGCAGAAATCTATTTGCCCATCTACTTTGTTTTCCGGGTCAAAGCTCAGGAGAAAATATGGGGCTTCCACCAACCTTGAGCCTTAAACATATTGCCTTGAAATTTCTACTCTTCCTGAGTCTCCTGGCTGGGTTTCCGTGTGCACACAATTGTCAAAATTGATCTTTAGCCCTGATTGGTGTGGCTTAGTTGGCTGGACATAGTACAGTGAAAGGTTGCTGGTTCTATTCCCCATCAGGGCACATGCGGGGGTTATGGGTTCAGTCCCCGTAGAGGTGTGTGCAAGTGGCAACCAGTTGATGTTTCTCTCATTAATTAGATATTTCTCTCCCTCTCTTTATCCCTTCCTTTCCCCTATATCTAAAAATAAATAAATATATATTTTTAAAAAGCAGTCTTTACCTTGTTGAGTTACTTCTGATTTCCTGCCATAAATATTTCTTCTCTCTCTAGCCAATGGCATTATTACCATGCTACCCACTTTCAATAGTACAAGCAGTCAACACATAAACACATAATGCTGGAAATGCATTACTGCAGCATCCCAGGCAGTCCTGGAAATAGTATGTACCCAACACAAATGGTCAGTTAAGGGAAAGGGAGAGATAGGCCAACTCTTTGTTCCAAGGATGAGCCTTTTGTTCCTGGATCATTCATTCCACAAATATGTATGTGGCATTGCATTATGCCAGACAATGTTGTAGGTGCTTGGAATACGTTAGTGAATAGAATAGACAAAGTTAAACATTTCCACAATTTACATTTAAGAAACTTCTAAACAAAGATTCTTAGCAACCTGCTGCTTTTTTGTCTCATTTTTTTAAAAAACATTTTTAAAAATCCATTTTTAGAGAGGAAGGGAAGGAGAAAGACGGAGAGAAATGTTGATATGTGAGACATACATCAGTCAGTTGCCTTTCACAGGCCCCTACTGTGCCCTGACTGGGGATCAAACCGTCAACCCTTAGGGCAGCAGGCCAGCACTGAGTCCACTGAATCACACCAGCCAGGACTTCCTCATTATTTTTATTCATTTTTTTGTTAATTCCATCAACAAACATGCAGAGCATCTCGCCATTGGCAAGATTGGGGTAAAAAGGCATTACGTGACTTAACGTCATTCTGGTCAAGGACGTGAAGGGCGTAGAATGTCCCTTACACAGAACTGGTTTTCCCAGTTATTTCCTTGGTTACCTGTGTTCTGTCAAGTGCCCTTCAATCTCGTACAGGAGGAATACAGCACTTCCGTGCATTTGGTGTTAGAAGTTAGAGCTAAGGACACAAGCCATAACTTTTGAAGCACACATGTGCCAAGGAAAACAAAGGCATTGCTAGGTGAAGGGGCGGGGAAATAACACATTTTTAAAAACGGGCAACAGGGTGAGATCTCACATTTTTGTTGGGAGGCAGAGTTCACATACTTATGATGTCACTAAATGTTCCTGCCAATGGAACAGGAAGGGGCCACAACATTCTACTGTTGAAGAGAAGGCCAGGATGGGCCTCCGTGTAAGAAGGCAACACAGAAAACAGGGCGTCAAAAGATGGACGCCGAAACAGAAAGGATCAAAAAAGAAATAAGACACAAGGTTAGCTGGGGTCATGAGCAGAAGGAGGAGGGGCTTGAGGGGAAGGACGAGGAGGAGATGTGTAGAGGCTGCAAGCGTGTCCAACGTTTTTACTTCTCTTGCCATCTCCGAGGAATGTGCTTGGGATGTGCTACGATTTCCCCCCTTTCTGTTAACAGTTATTCCCTGAGCTCCTCCCCTGTGTAAACACTGTGCTAAATGTGGCAGGAGGTGGAGGAGTCAGGGCTGTTGTCTTGTAGGGATGTCTAATGTAGGTGGTGGGCCAGGACAAGGGGAAAGTGTAACAATATAGGCCGTGGATGGTTGTGTGTGAGCAGTGTGTCAGACAAGATGCAGAGACCAAAGAGGAAAGCCTCAGTCCTAGCGGGTAGGGGACCCGGGTCGGCCTGTGGACTGAAGGGTGTTTGGTCAGGGAATGAGGAGGGAGAGCCTGGGAGCTGAGTGGGAGAGAAGAGGATTGGGCTTCTATGGCGGGTGTCTAAGGATGGGGAGAAATCCCAAAGGAACTGAGGGAAAGTGACACATCTCCCATATCCCCTTTTTTCTAGTCAGCACCCTTTTGTGTGAAATGTGGGATAACTAGACCATACCGCATTGTCATTCTCACCTGCGCATTCACGGGTTCTGCCCTTCTGTGGTGGGCCTTCAGCCTGCCCACCTGGGTGAAGATAGAAATCCAGGGCACCACCCAAGCGCTCTTCAGCGCTCTCTTCGCAATCTGCAGTGGCGAGGTCACATGTTGGGTTCCTCCATCCAAGTCAAGTAAGTTCTGGCCTGGAAAGGGAAGGCCCTGCTCCAACCCTGCCCCTTCTGGGAATTGCTGGCCTCCTTTTCTGCCCCAGCTCACATGGACCAAGCAGTTATCTCCCCTCGGTAACACCGGCTCATTTCAGGATGAGCCAGGGGATCAGGTGGCTCTGTGGTTACCAGTCCCACTAAATACCAGCCCCACAGGAATCGCTGTCCTAGGCCTTTTGGTCCCCCCCCACTGGTTCCCGCCATATAGTCTCCACACTGCTTGCTTAGTGCTCTGTGGATTCAGACCCAGGAAGGAGGGGGCCCTAGAGGGAGCTGCTGGCCTTTCTCCCCTCTCCCTCCCCAATTCAGACTGCTTCACATTTGGTCGAATTTTCATGATCAGCGCCCTTGTTCTCTCCTTCTTCCTGAACATCATACTCATGGCCTTCCCTCACTCCCTTCCTGATACTCGGAAACAGTACTTTGTCTTCACGATCACCTTCTTCATCATAGGTGAGAATGGGAGGAAGAGGGTTCCCTCAGTTGTCCTGGTTCTGGGCTGGGGTGATGTTCCGTTGGACACAGTTTCTCCTTAGAAACTGTTCAAGGACTGCTAAAGTGAAAGATAAAGCAATGACAAGGGACAGAAACGGAGTAGAAGAACTGAAATGACAACTTAAGTTCTTGGGAATTAGCTCAAAGGCCGTACTCTGAACTAACCGGACTGGTCTTTGCCCGCCCACTTTTTTTCCTGAGTGACAGGTGTCTGTGTGTTCCTTGCATTACTGCTGCACTCTCTGCATATTTCGAAAGTAACTGACGTATTCAAGAACGCGAAAATCACCTTTCTGTACCCGTGTTTCATCCTCTCATTCAGCATCACACTGTTTTTCCTATCTGGTGAGTGTTCTGGGGCTGGCTGTGTGAGTTCCTGAATCCAGAACAATCATGCCCATGGGTTTCAACTATCTCCACCGAGTAGCGTTCGTTTCTGGGGATGGATTTGGTACAAAGACACGTCATCGGCTTGTTGCAGCTCCTCCTACTCTATGTTAGACTCTCGCCTTCATAGAAAAGTAGAGTGCATTTCTCCTGCACATTCAGTAAGAAGCGTGTCCGAGAATTTGTAGAACAGACCATCGTAGGGAAAAGGGTGGGTGGGGCAGAGAAAAGGGTGACTCCACACTCATGTGCTCAGCCTGTTTAAACGCCATGAATTTCTTAACAAACATCAAGGGTTGAGTCATTTTCCTCTTCAACGTCGTCATTTTTCCCTCAGGAATTCTCTGCTTCTTCAGCTCCCACCACTGTTGGCTTCAGTGTGTGCTACCACAGCCGATCCAAGTGGAACCCAGGCAAACAGCCGCGGCCAGTGGGAGCCCAGTGGCAGTCACAGAGGGGAGACCAGGGGGTGACAGTTAGCAGAACCTCAGCGGTGAGGAGGCTAACAGCAGAAACGCATGTCCAGCCTGTAACTCAAGCCTTCACAGCTACACACACTCTCTTGTTTAATTACCGTGTAAGACTGGGGAGTGTTGGCCTGCGACTCACCGTCGTTCACGTGAGGATCAGGGTTCCAGGAACTTGGGTTTTCATGAAAGAAGACATAGTTGGAGGTGGGGGGCGGTGAGTCTGCTTTGAGTCTTGGGGACTTGGAATGAGAATCTCCTCACCTTGAAGATGACCAAGGCCCACGCTGCCCTCTCATGTGTGTTTTGTAACCTGGAAGTCATTTTCTAGCAGTAACAAAGCTCTTTCTCTGTCTGTGGAGGCTGTTTTGATACGAATTCTCTGCCCTCTGATAATTTTATGAGTGGAATCTTTTCCCTGTCATATCAGGTACCAACCCCTCATCCAAGCTACCTGAAACTGTAACAAAGAGTGAACCTATTGGACAAGCACAGGGGTCGTCCATGGACTCACAGAACACTTTGATTGACTGGGGGCTACACAGGATACTGGGGGGGGGCACCCAGAGCTCTTTCCTCGGGATACTGTCCTTTTACTGTTCAGTGAAGGCGAATGGAATTTCCTGCTCCATAAATGCAAGCACTATTCTAAATTCCCCTGCTCATCACTCTCGGGAGCCATCAAAGCCTGTCCCTTCCCGGTCAGGCAGACCTCTGCTCCCCCGTGGGAGCCCTCCTCACACCCACGGGCCAGCCAGGCCCGTGTCACCACTGCCAGACTAGGGGACTTCTGAGTGTGCTTCCTCTCCACTGCAGTCTCCCTCTGCCACGCTGCCGACGCCAGCTGCTTAGCACACAGAGCTGAGCACATTCCCCTTCAAAACCCACTTGCCCTGTTCTTTTCTTCAGGGTAAATTCCTTGTCTTGATAAATAAAGTTCTTTACAAGTTGACACCAACCTACTTTTCAACATGTTTTAATATTTTTAATTGTGATTCATGTCATACATGTGAGAAAAGTATGTATGGGGTTGGAAGGATGAGAAAGGAGGCTCCAGACCTAGAAAAACACGGTATCGTCAGCATATCTTACGCTCGCTGCGTCGGCATAAGAGCCCCGCCCGGAGTTGCTGCGGCCCCTCCTGCCCCTGCGGGCAGCGCTTTCCCTCAGTCCTGTGTCACGGCACGGCCTGCCCACCCTCAATCCCGTGGCCCTGATTTCCCTTTGAGTTTTTTGGGTGTCACATTTTGCTGGGTACATGGATACCTAATAAATCCTCTTTGAGTTACTGAGGCAAAGCTTTAGGGATTGGGAGGGAGTTGGACATTCTGCCGACAGTGGCCATGCTTTACTGGCGCGCAAATATAGGCCAGGACTCGGCCTGCGTTGTGTCTTTTAGTCTCACAACAGACCTGCAAAGTGAGCATCATCGCTGTGTAGCAGATAAGGTAACAGAGTGACTCAAAGTTGATTCGTCCAAATTCACGCGTCTAGTAAGGGGGGGTCTCTGGCAACCTGCTCCTTCTTTCCATATCAGGTTTCTGCTCTGTGATCATTGGCAAGAATGGAGGGTGGACAGTAAGGCAGACAATGTTAACAATGGTCATGCTGGAGATGAACAGATTATGATGATGAAATAAATTAAAAATCAATGGTTATTCAAAAAGCTATCAAAAGTAAGCCTGGGAAACAATGAGAGGTGTACGTGTCATAGGCAAATTGAGGCAGCGTACATTACTGCTTTCCAGAGTAAAGAACAGGACTCCTGCCCTGCCCTGGCCAGGTGCACGGAGGCAGCTGTTTTGGGGGGAGATTCAGGTCTCCGCACTGTGACGCACATGTCAGCCCCTGACTCCAGAGTCAGAGACTGTGTGATCGTAAAGATCTGTGGTGTATGGCGTCATTCGTAGCCACACTTCAACAATTCTGATTTACAGGGCAATATATAACCATGCACAATTAATGCCATGTACTGAACACAAGCAATTGATCAAATGAGTTCTATGATGGTTAGATCTGGAAATCTGGCCATGGCCTAATGTGGGTTAATGTAAGCAACAGAGAGATCTCTTGGCTTTAAAAAATGCTTAAAAATACTTATTTAGAATATGGGGATGGAGCCAGGTGTAGCAGCTAACATTGTGTGCCCACCATGCCACCAGCCAAAAACACCATGGCTCCCACTTCTCCTTTCCAGCAGGAAGGTGAGGTGGTTCACACACTTCCTGTGTCCTGCCTTGGCTTTCGTGGGGCTGAACCTCATCCTTGGCTCCAGGAGCAGAGAGACAATGGATCTCATCAGTCGGGTCCCACTCCTGGCGGTAATTGGATTCACTGAGAGTATGTGATACATACAAGTCTAGCCAATGTGAGGGAAGCATGTAGCAGAAGTTACCCTCAACAAGGGATACAAGAAAAGGCCTGTTTGCTTTTCTTCTGGACTTTATCAGACTGTGAGAGTTTGGGGTCCTGCAAAGGAACCAGATGGAGTATGAAATCCGTATGTTGAGAATGACCAAATGCAAAGACTCAAAATAAAATCTGGATCTTGGTGACGTCATGGAGCCACCGCATGATCTGGGCATTAGCCTCCCCACACCCTGCACTTGCTCAGTGTGATAACTAAGCCACTTTAAGCCAGTTGCACGTTCTTGCAACTTTTGTGGAGCTATCGCTGAAAGCTTCCTGTTACTGCAGAGGGCTCTTTGGCTGGAGGTCTTACGAGTGTGGTGTCACTGTGTTCTAAATCCTCCTGATGAAAGAGGTTTGATGTGCCTTTGTTTCACTGGGGCTTTTCTTTGGTGTCAGCAGACAGAACCTTTTTTTTTTCACTTAAGAGGCCTCCTCAGTGCCTGGCTCCAACCCAGCCCAGCCCAGTCCTGCTGTTTGACGTCATAGGCTGGAGACTTGGGGACACAGGCCCAGCCACAGCCACTGAGACCATAAACAGCCACTGTGAGCCTCGAGGCTGTGTTCAGAGATGAGAATACCATCGCTGTGCATAGCACTCCACTGCTCCTCCATGCAAATGTGTGGCCGACTTGGGACCTCCCTGTACCAGTCACACTGCATTCCTGGTGCCCACAGGCGTGTTTTTTCAGGCAGCTTGTCATTCACATGTGCAGACTTTTAATGTAAAATTAGCTACTGCAGACACTGAGGTGCTGCCCCCGAGGAGTATGCGATTGAGTGGGGAAGGCCGCTGAGCACACAGCTGTCTGCAACATGGTGCGCCAAATGCCACATTGAGGGGTGTCCCTGCACCCCAGACGTACAGGAAAGAATGCAGCACGAATGCAAACTGAGAAGAACGAACACCCGGATTAGGTTGGTGTCTCCTTTATTCCGTTTGTCGTGCCAGTCCCTGATGCCCAGGTTCCTTCTGTTCTCCAACAGCGAAGTCCTACAAGCTTCATCACTTGCGGCTTCCACGAGGCCAAGGGCGTGGGGCTGGCGGGATATGGAACTGAGGAGCCTGCAGAGCAGACCGAGAGTGCTTACCTTCTCTCAGCTGGAAAACTGGAAGGCAGACAAAACCGAAGGAGGCCAAGTGTACATCAGCCACATCCAGAAATTCGATGGTACAAAGATTCAAGAACCTCGTAAAGGCTAATTATCAACAATTTGGCAACACAGAGGGAAGGGTGAGTGGTACAATGGACAGTACCATGTACCAGCAGGTGCCAGGCTCAACTCAAGGTCACCTTTCTGTTATCTCCTCTGGGGAGACGGTCTGGGGTGGTGTCTTGTCATTCACACCCATCAAAAAATCCTTCTGGGACTCTTTTACACTGAGGGGGTCCTCATAAGACCCGCATCGTAACTCTTGCTCCATCACCACACACCTGCGAAGGGCTGAGGAAAGATGGGTGAGGCTAGAGAAGATCTACAAATCGATCAAGAATATCTTCGACGCCTGCCATTTTGCATGAAACGGTCTCCGTTTGAGAATGCTGGCCTCTCTGTGAATCCTCCCTAGAGGAGCCTCCGAGGGCCCTGCGGGAAGCTCTCCACGGCTCAGCGGTCCGAGTGCGCACGCGGACGCTCGCTGTCGGGACGCGCGCGGGAGAGAAGCTGGGCCGGGCGGGCGCTCGTGCGGATCCGACCGGCTTATAAAGCGCCACGAGCGAGGAAACGCAGCTCACGACCAATGAGACCCTCACCCGGTGACCCGGACGATCTGATCTTGTGTCCATCACAAGTGACAGGAAGGTTTGGCGGCGCCAGAGCTTTCTCATGGGGGCTTTGTTCTCCGCCTTCCCCCGCAGAGTCTGGGGAGACCGCCGCGCTTTGAGCCGGGCGTCCCGGGGGGCGTGCGCTCTTAGTCCCAGTTCCGCGTCCTTGTGCTCTGAGCTACCGGAGTAAAGGGGACCCGCACGTCTGCTGTAACAGAAAAATGCGAGAGAAAATGCCCGTGGCAGCCGGGGAATTAGCTCAAGTGGTAGAGCGCTCGCTTAGCATGCGAGAGGTAGTGGGATCGATGCCCTCATTCTCCAGTTTTGCTGCCCCATGGGGCCGTTTTTTCGGGCTTTGACCTGTGGTCATGGCCGACACAAGACCCTAAGCCGGTATATATAGATCTACCAATTTATAATTCGTCTTCTGTTTCCCTGGGGGAGCTCTGATCCCGCAAGGGCGGGGTGTACTAAATTGCTATTTTGCTCCATGCAACTTGGCCCTGTATTCGACACTGTACTGGAAAATGAAAAACGTACAACCAGATTCAGGAAGCTTTGCAAGCCTTAATTTAAGTAGGGTATACCCAAAGAAAGCCACATCCAGGCACATCACAATCAAACGTCTGAAAATGAGAGAGAGAGAGAGAAGAGAGAGAAGAAAAGAGAAGAAAAAAGAAAAGAAGAAATCCTGAAAGCTGCTAGAGGAAAAAAGAAAGGGGAACTACAGTTTGTATGTTTGGGGATTTCCTACCAGAAACCATAGACACTAGAAAGAAATAGAAAAATATTTTTTAAATGCTGAAAAAATAATATGCTGATGTGTATTTCTGGTCTCCGTTCTATTCCATCGGTGTGTATGCCTGTCGATATTTAAGACTTCTCTCTCAACGCAGCACACACAATGCTTCGACACTGGATTCTCTCTTCACAGCCTCTCTAGAGCCTTTCTCTGCTCTCTGTCACCTGTCCCTTCATCCACTCAGCAATGTGTACAGGGAGATATTCTGCGCCAGACAGTGGAGTGGAGGCAGAAACTGGAGAAAGACTCATGCTGTTTGCCCCAGGGGCTGGCAGGATAAATGTGACTAAACCTCAACACTTTAGTCCCTTCGTAACTCATTTTCCTTTCTCTCCAATTTCAGTTCCCATTTCCAAGGTTGTGGGCACTCAAAACTAAAGCTTTTTTTTTTTTTTTTGTAAAATGTAAAATTGATCCTATTAAGTTGTCTGCCTGGAATTTTTTTCATGAGCTTTAAGTGTCCAGAATGTTTTTCTGGTCATATCTCCAGGGCTTTTCTATCACTACTTCCTCCCTGCATGTGTTTTATGGCGGTGTAGATGCACAGTCCCAGGCCCCACAATCCAGTGAGACAGGCACGTTTCCTCATGCAGGGATTCCTCCACCCACGACTGAACCTCTCACCCTGCATTCGTCCCTCCTAACCTGCTCCGTCAAGACCAATGCTTATTCCTTTACTCCAACGTGATCTCGAATCTTAATCCCCATGATTTTTGTCTAGAACACTTTTGTGGTTTTTGCCAGCTTTCATGTGGTGTAGATGTGTGAGTTCTACATGTTACACCTAGTAGGACTCAATGCATATGTTAGATATAAGCAAAAAAGGACTCAAGTTTGAGGGTCCTGTAGTGTAGAGGCTTTTACACTGGCCTCATACATGAGATGTCCTATTTCAAAACCAAGTGGAAACAGCTGGTAGGTTACAGTTTTCGTTTTGTTTGTTTTTAGTGCCTCCAGAACCTACC